TTATAGAGGTTAGGTTTATATAGTCGTTTTTCCCACTAGGCCGAATCGTACCCTAGTTCGGATCCTGTTCGGATGTATGTAGGAACGGGTGCTGAGCCGTTACAGTGTGTTGCACGAGTCCGTGAGGTAGGTTACTATTAGTAATGTTTACCATAATCTAAAGATTTATGAAATTTATTCTAAGCTATAATAACTATAATATATAGATGATATAAGATTTATATACTTTACCTCCTAAGTGGTAGATTTTCTTTTCTCTATCTTTGGATATATAAACTACTTATATGATCTTAATATTAAGATATAGAGTAGAATGTGTTAGCTAATATAATATATAATTATATAGATGCGCGTGCTTCCGCATACATCCGCATGTATTCTCTCTCCAGCGCTAGCCGACCGTACTAATGCCGACCCCTGCTTACGACGTGGTCGTTCAACCTTCCCCCCTCTTCCTCGCTTGCCTACGGGTTAGCTCGAGCAATGAACTATTATTTATCTCTACTTCATCTTTACTCCTTAAATCTAATACTAAACATAATATACTTCTCTTGCACAAGCTAGAACAGCTACATGTAAACCTGCAGCTCGGTTAGCAAGCTTCATCGTCGTCTATATAGCCTTTCGCTGTTATGCACGAACCATCGTTTGACTATGCAGAATCACAAAAGATGCGTTGTCGAGAAGCCCAGACCGCTTTGCTCCGCGTACTAGTGATTTAGCTCCAGCTCTAGCCTTGCTTAGCCTGCAACATTTTATGCAGGGTCAATGCTTCCCCTTTCTGCACTAATCAACCTCAGATGAGAAATTGACTTTTTTTTATCATCTGTCAATAACTTAGACGAAACACGTGAGTTTTGTTGCCTACCTTCCACTCTTAGTTCCTTTTTACACTTGTCTTCGAATTCGACGAAATGGGGCTCGAGGCACTCGAGGTGTCTCCGCCGACTTCAGACAATGCTGATACGCCCGCGGAATATTGGAAGACCCAAGACCCGTACATCTTCAAACCAGCAGAGTGGTTCTTTAAAGAAATTGCTAGTGGAAATACAAAACGGCCTCATTCAATTTCATGCGAAGAGGTAGATCAGCAAGTCAATGGCACACCGCTTCCAGTCTCGAGCCATGGAAGAATCTTTCGTTTCAATGACCAGTTGGGTTTCCTGCTGATCCAATTCATGCGTCCACAAGTCTGGCGTATCAGGTTTCATAGCACAAATACAACGCCCTCGGACTTTTCCGACTATAACACGAGAACCATCGTCCAGGATACACTTACAAAGACTATTGAGATTTTAGACCTTGCCGAGGGCTTGTCCTGGCATGTCGAACTCGTACAGCCGAACGATGAATACTACGTTTTACAATCAGTCCTCGGCTCTGAATCAGTAGACGACCCGTCTCGCAAGGTTATTGTCCAGCTGTGGATTGAGCGGAAACCAATCAACATCACCGCAGTCAGAGCAATCAGAACCACCAGTGTTCTGACGCAGCTACCAACCTTGTCATCAATTTCAAATGCCAAGCCTGAGCATATGAAAAAGTTGACAATCAACACACCTCCAGACTCACAAGTTGCTGTCATCTGGCGAACCAAAAATGATCCACTACAATGGCTAGATAATGCAACTGTTCTGGCAGTTGAAAAGCCGCTGAGCGCAAGATATGCGGGCTTCGGTGAGCAAGGCGGGCGCAGGCTGTTCAAAGACAACGTCTGCATGAACTACTTTAGTGAGTCTTGCCACCGTCAGTACGTTGCTCGGTGGCCTAACAGTTTCTTTGAGATTTTGACAACATGCGATACTTCAACGTCTATGGAAAAGATCGCAAGGATGGGCCGTATTCAGATAGTGAGCCTTTGTATCATTCTGAGCCATACTGGATCGAAATGAATGCACACCCTGGTACACAATCTCAGTTAGCCACATTTGTGGACAACTATTCCGATGTCAAGCTAGACCTTGGCCGCGTTGATACTACGCAGCTCCGTATCGCAACTAGATTCAATAGCTTCCAAAGCATTTTCATCGCTGGTGACGATGTTGCACAAGTGATTCGCCTGTACACGTCGCTCATTGGCAGGCCCCAGCTGAATCCGCGCTTCGTTCTGGGAAATCATCAAGGATGTTATGGCTATGACACGCGAAAAAAGGTAGAGAATACAGTCAACCAGTATAGGAAGTACCAAATCCCACTGGACGGAATGCACATCGACGTCGACATTCAGCGCCTATACCGAACCTTCAGTATCAACACAGACGAAGGTCATTTTCCACAGCCCGAGGAAATGTTCAGTCGGCTCCGGAAGCAGGGAGTCAAATGCAGTACAAATATCACACCTGTCATTAGTCTCCTTTCTGACCCTAAAAATCCCTACTCAGTTCTTGATGAGGGCTTAAAGAATAAATACTTTGTCATGGATCGCCGTGATGTCGATCCGTCGGCGAGCTCCTATGACAAGCAGATATCTCTCAACTTTGGGGCCGGAAACAGATACTTTAAGAACCCCAACAACTTTGATGACCTACCAAAGTACGAGACCAGAGGTGATTACCAATTTGAGAATCTTTTCAATCAGGATCCCCCAGTCCCATTCAGAGGGGGCGTCGATTATGGAGATGGTAGGGGAGCTCCGGGCTACTATCCTAACTTGAACAATCAAGAAGTCAGGGAGTGGTGGGGCAGGCAATACACGTACCTTTTCCAGACAGGCCTTGAGTTTGTTTGGCAAGACATGACATCGCCGTGCATGGCTGAAGCATTTGGCGACATGAAATCGTAAGTGAACCTCTCAAACTATCTATGCATTATTTGGGCACGATGGCTGATAGCCTTGGAAGTTGGCCATTTCGTCTACTTCTGGATTCGGACGGCTGGAGTGGAGACCCTAAGGCTGCTGAAAAGAAAAAGGCCATTGAGATTTGGTCTCTATACAGCTACAATCTCCATAAAGCTACATTCCATGGTTTGCAGGAGCTTGAGAGTCGTAGGGGTAAACGCAATTTCATCATCGGCCGTGGCAGCTTTGCCGGTGCTCAACGCTTTGCGGGACTCTGGACCGGCGACAACGCTTCTACCTGGGAATTTTTGGATATTTCTGTGACACAGGTGCTTGCACTCGGACTCGCTGGTATGACTATCGCCGGAGCGGATGTCGGTGGTTTCGAACCCCTACACGATGGCGAGTCTTGGGCCGACCCTGAACTTCTAATTCGATGGTACTGCGCATACAGCTTGCTACCGTGGTTTCGAAACCATTACAGTGGCAAGGGGGGCAAGAAACGTTTCCAAGAACCTTATGCCTACGCTGAACTGCAGAATTCGCCTGACTGGAGGTTTGTCCCTGAAAAAGACCGCAATACATATTACTCTGTCTTGCCAATTTGCCGCTACGTAATTCAGCTGAGGTACAGTCTGCTTCAGCTACTGTATGATGCCATGTTTGAACACATGATCAACGGTTTGCCGATTGCGCGAGCCATGATCATTACCGATCCATTGGACTCATCACTCTATGATGCAAACCAGTGGTATACGCGGAGTCAGTATCTGGTCCGCAATGATCTTCTTGTCGCTCCAGCTCTTTGTAAGGAATGTCAGCGAACGATACGAAAATTATATCTACCTGCTCCGGATTACTGGTATCCTGTGAACCTACGCCCAGGAACACAACTATATCTGAATGGTATTCTTGCTGAACCTTTGGCTCCCTGGGTCCGTGGTGGTACGTATGTCGATTTCGACTGTCACATCTCTCCAGATGAGAAACAGCTACCTTATGCTACACCAATGTACATCCGCGAGGGTGGCATTATACCGCAAATGGCAGCGGGTAACTGGGTACCGGATCGCACTCGGGACGACAAAGATGCTCCGCCAAATCCACTGACGATCAATATTTACCCCGGCAAGGATAACAGCTACGACATGTATCTCGACGATGGGGTATCACGAGAGAGCGCCCCGTGTAATGTCTACCTCTCTGCACTACCAAATGAAGCTAAGGGAGAGGTCGTGACGAAACTGGCCAACGCATATGGAGACCATGAGGCGAATAGCATATTCCGGCACGTAAAATTCGATCAAACAACCCTGAGTGAATTTGGTAGCGACCAAATGAGAGACATACGGCGAATAAGAGTTTCAACACCGTTCTCGAAGTATGGAGATGACCTGGTCGAGCGGGACATTGGCCGAGAGTATCGCATTGTGGTATGGCATGCCTCAAGGTGGCCTGCAGTGGAAATGAACCTGGACGAAGTCAAAGTAAATATCGAGGGAAATGTTGAGGTCCGCTGGGAAATGGATAAAGCGCTGCGTGCAACTGTGGCATGGGTTCCCGTCTCTGCTACTGCGGACGTGACGATAGACGTTAGCTGTCCAGCCTAGAAGAGGATTGGTATTTCGATCGCAAGTCTGAAAACATGAAAATCAGATTCAAATCTCTTCAAACCCAAACTCAATCGAATCGAGGTAAAAACCATCCAACTTGGACCAGATTGCAATGCCTAGATCTCTTTGTATGTTTCGTCATTTTAATACCTGATTCCGGCAGGTTGGGGTGTGACCTGCCATTCTTTTCTGAGAAAGATAATCTGATATAGTATACCCCAAAAAGGTTATAAAACGAATTGAGGTCATACTTAGCCTGAGATACGGTTGGGTAAGGCTCGCAAACAGCGAGGCCGCAATGTACCGTTTCGCACTGTGGAACCGCTGCATGCAGGCACATAGCGGAGTCTTTCAAATGAAAAACAAGAAAAGGATGGGGCGGAAAATAGAAGTTTCCAGTTTCCGGACATCAATATGTAAATTTGGAAGGGATGAGGAGGCACGAACATGATAAGCTTCACGACGACCCCAGCCAATGACCGCTATCGAACCCCAGAACTGGAAGAATAGCGGATGGGGTAGATATGACAAGCGCAATCCTGCCCGCGTTGTGGATAGCTTTGCACGACAACACCACAGAAAGCCAATGCACGGTTCGTAAGGACCTAAACGACCATTCCAACTACGGCGCCCGATGGACTCAATCCCTAGGCGATTCCGGCTTCGGCAATACCATAAAGGCTGTTGACTTCGTGGGTGAAAGATCAATTCCCAATGCAGATATCAATTGATGGGTTGCTATCTGGCGGGTTTATCCAGATCTAAGATCTCGACGGTAGCGCCAGTGAGAGCTACTGCATCAACTTTTGGACGCCAGCCAAAATCAAGTTTGCGGACAAGACCCAGTCGACATTCACCATCCACAACAAGCTTATCGATCGGAAAACCGCGCCGAACAGAGAAGTCCTGCATTGGATGCGATCTGGCGAGAGGACTGGCATCATCGGATTCACCTACATAGCAATGACCGATGGGAGCGGGGTTATCGAGATGATGAAGACGGAATATACATCGGATCTATGTCCCGGCGGGCTGCCCAACGGTGCCTGTGCCACCTTTGCAACAACTCATTCCTGGGCCATGCATGTTTTATGGAGCAGACGCTCAACCATCCTCAGCAGCGTCCCCGCGGATTTTATGCTGAATCTGACTCGCTTTATTGCCGAGAGAGATGGTCGCCGTCTCGCAGTCTCAGAATCAAGTGCTGGTTGAACTACTGAGCAACAGCTTGGTGCAAACGACGCTGCCTCTTCCTAAGGCGCCCTACCGCTTTGCCAAGCCATTAAGAGGTGCCAGCGCCTTGAGGCAGAGCATCTTGCTGGCGTGCGCCGGACCTAAGGAGTAGGGCAGTAAGTGGGTGAATCTAGGGAAGACTGACTTTGACCATGCCGGCAACGCCAACTTTGTGACGGCAGACTTCGACCTCGAGCTCGAAGCGGAACAAGATGCATCGGTGCTCGTGGGCGACGTGATGGGCTGGGGCCACGATCAAGTCGTGGTTGTGAAGCCGACACTCGACGACAGGACCACCGTAGCCACTTACGGCCAGAAGATTGGAAGCCCTGACATCTTATGTGTGGGGCTACACCAATGCGACATGGCTTTGGCCAGTGACTTCGTAGGCCCTTTGCTTGCTGCGCTCGCCCCGTCGCATCCCGGGTCACTCAAGCCGACGGGCCAGGGCCAGGGCCTGCTCCAGATTTCGCGCCGTAAGAACGGAAAGCGGCATCTCATTTCCTTCCATACGCACGCGGCCAGCGTAGACGTGTGTGACCCTCTTTGCAATTGTGCCGGATTTGAGGTCGATGCGCTGGGGTCGCGCAGCCTGGAGCACTTTTTCAGCATCAAATGGATGCCAGTACGAGTGCTTGAGTAAGCGCGTGCGGTGCTAGAGGTCTTCAGCTGGTATAGCGTGCTGGGGGTGCTTGTGTTCACTTGCTCGTACATTGAAGACGGAGGCATCAGCGAGTGGACATTGCATGGCCAGTTTCCACATCTCGGTCAGACGTCCATAGGCGCTGGGCTGGGGTGCTATGGTGACTGGGGCCATGGATTTGTAACCTTGGCACAGGAGAAAGAGTGGACCGACGCGAACACATTCAGGTCAGTGGGAAAAGACAATTTGAGCCTAGGATGGTGGGAGATGGTGTGGGAGGATTGTAGTAGACAAAGTGTGCGAGGATGGGATGTCGGGAGGCAGCCGCTGCGATAGCTAGACTGTCAGCGTTAAGCGACTACTGCTATAGGCTCTATCTCAAGGAATGTTTCAGTACAATGCACTCCTTGCTCGTAATAACAAGTCACATGTCTTTAGACTACCCCTCTCTGTTCACATGTCTGATAGTTAGCACTGATACAAGTTCAATGCCTCGGATTTTACCCAGGTATAATATCTCGGAGTATACCTGCATGTGAATGCTGATCCTACTGACATTATTGTAAGACAAGCTTCCCCGCAAATTCGTCCCGTCGCCATGCAAGGGGCAGCAGCAGGGATTAACAACTCCACGAACCACAGCTGGTACATGTGACCACAACTTCAAATATTTGTGACTACTGCCTTCCCTATCTAGTTGACGTCTCCGGTGTTTCCCCGCATCTTCTCGTCACAAATCAGGGAAAGTGGTACAGATTATAACAATAGTCATACTTGAGGCCGGAGTTCAATGGCAAGAAGCATGTGCAAGTTGGAATTGAGTAGAGAGCTACTACTCCGAAACGAAATATAAATTCATCGATAAATCGCCTTTCAAAAATCAACTACAATTCTCACCTCGCAGCCAAAAGCAACCAACATCAGCCAACATGCACTACCAGTCTACTCTCTCTATCCTCCTCGTCCTAGCAACTTCCATCTCCGCCCAAACCCGCTGTGACCCTGTCGCCTCCGCTATCCCAACTTGCGGCGTCAGTCCCCAATTCCGTCTCCCTCTAGCTTTCAGAACTGACATCTCTTATAGGTTCCGTGCATTCAATCCGCCGCGTCATCCGTTGGTTGTGGCGGAACTGATTATTCGTGCCGATGCACTAATTCTGCTGCTATTCAAAACGGTGCGCTTGGGTGCGTAGTAGGCAATTGTGGAATTGCGACGGCGCTGCAGGTACAAGCTAGCGCAAGTGCGGTTTGTGCTTGTGTTACTGGAGCTGCAAGGATCTAATCGGCAGGTATATCTGTATGCTCAAGGGTCTGAGAGACGAGAGTGTACTAACTGACGCCATTGAATCGCTGGAGCAAATTGGAAATCATCACAGTGTACCTAGCTTGTAATTCGAATCCCCTTGCTTCATCACACTTGTTACCATTCCAAATGTTGGGGTGGCATTGAAACCGACCTCTGGATTGATTCCAAACCTTTACCTCTGCTTTTGCCTGTTCATTATGGTTGGCTATGTCTTTCCCATACTGTGTGAATATTCCCAAATATTGAGAAGCCTGCCATTGTACTACACTACCAGAGATACCCTTGCTGAGTCTCTTGGTACAACTAGTATCGGCCTGTTTTCTGGTTGAAATAAGGCGAACTCAAGCTAGGGCCTATGACTATTACGTGCTTGACTTGAAGCTTTTCTAAACCAATACATCCGGAGAGCTATCTATACCTCCACTCATCTGCCATCAGCGCCTTTCTTGACATCTAAAACTAGGTTAGTGGACTGCACCAATGTAAACCGCGCATGACGAAGAGGTGGGCAACATACAGTTTCGAAGGTTCCAAACTTTACACATGATCTTACATTTATCCTACAGTTGCACTTTAATACGCATATTAACTCACAATGGGATGGAACTAGACACTACGGTTATCAGAACGAGAAGGTTGGAGAAGGTGCTCCATTATAGGCTCAGCTACTCATAATATTCTACATTTTTACTTCATAGGCCATATTGTGGAATAGTTCAAAATCTCCAATAGTAAAGGTTTACAGAGTATACTCGGACACCGTCAATTGTGCTACTCTGCGTGGCTGACATGAGTTATATATGTCAAAAAAAGTAATTTCAGAAAGAAGAGTATTGATTGATTGGTAGAGATGGGGGAAAGAGCAAGGCAACACAGATATTGACACCTTCTCAAAGTATGGTATCACTTTGATTCACTTATGTCAGCTGCAAAAGCTCAAGGACTGAGTATTTCCGACTGTCGAGAAGGTGACATATTGTTCGTGCGCAGCGGATACATACATCAATATGAGGTCATATCACCCCAGCGGAGAAAGGAGCTTCATGAGGTGCAATAGAGAGAGAAGCCCGAAAATACCGGTTTGAGGCCTTCGAAAGAGCTCCTGGAATCCCTTTGAAAATACCAGGGTCGCTGCAGTTGCGGGCGGTACGAGATCTTTTGAAAAATGGCCCTGCATGGCGCAGCAATGGCATCTGCATGAGAAATTGCTAGTAGGCTGGTGAATGCCTATTGGACAACTGCTTGACTTGGAGGACTTGAGCACTATCTGTGACGAGTTGGGAAGATACATTGTTCATTTCGGGTGAGCCTTTGACCGTAAGTCGTATGGTCTCTCTGGCTTATCTAGATTCGGGTTGACTTACTTTCAACATAGGTACCAGGCGGAGTTGCAAGCCCTCCCAATGCTCTTGCATTTTTCTAGTGATGCAAAAAGAGCCCCCGGATTACGTGATATGCATAGACAAGATAATATAACAATCCATGGCAGATTGCCAAATTCAATGGATGCATAAGTGCAAGCTCGAGCCATCACTCACATTCCAATAAAATGTATTTGAGTGCAATCCGGTTTCGCTGTTTGCGCCAGAACGGACAACAGAGGGGGCAGTGTTTAGACTGCTCGCAAATGATCGCACGGCCGAACACTGGTTTCAGCGGCCCTCGCTTCAGCGAACGTCTGACGAATGATTCGGGATGCTCTGCATACTTGCCGTACCTCGGAAGCTCCCTGATGGAGACATTTTGCTAAAGCGAAACCGGAAGCGAATTGACTGAATAGCTAATTATCATGAAATCAGATGCTCCTTCAGTGTGTGACTAGATTCACCCATTCACACCCACCATCTTTCGTAGTTCACTTCCACACAATAACCATGATCACATAAGAAGAAGCCCTCACTTCGTCGAATCCGTTTTGCAATTGGGTTCTCAAAGGCGATGTGTGCACCGCAATGTCCTTGGAGCTGGTAAGGAGCAAGGATATCCCAATGGTATGCAAATTGGCAACAATAGACTGCATGTTCATCAATATGGAACACTCATCTCCGGGCCCACACCATCGCGCAGCTCATACTTGCACGCACTTACGTCGGAGTCTCACCGATTATACGTACGCCCTCCAAGTAGCCTGGACACATCAGTCAAATACTGGATGCGGGTGCAGCGGCTGTCGTCATTCCACATGTCGATACAGTTGATTAGGAAGAGCCTCGTGCGCGCAGCAAACTAGTACCTCCACTTACGTACCCAGCTGCTACCCAATTGCGAGCATATACGCTGTCCTTAGATTCCCATGACTCTTGGGCAATACTAATTAGTAATCATAAACTGATCCCAGACTTTATAGCCTGGGTGCATACTGCTTACTATCAGTAAGCGGGTAGGGCTGGAGTGGCTGGCTTGGCATGGGTGAAGTGGCCGACTTGGCTCGGTTCTGACATCCGATACTATCGTGAAAACCCCTGTTCTCCTAGGCAACACTGCTTAGTCACAATAGCATTTCTCCGCACCCCGCAATCTGAACCTTGACAACCCCGTAAAAGTAAGACATCTTTATTAATCTACACTCCTTCCAAGACCGCCCAGGACCATCGTCCTGCCTCGTATCACTACATCCAAGCCTTTAACATTTACTCCTTTGAGATGTTTAAGAATAGAACATCACTACACTTTGTTTGCAATTGTCTCTTGTCTAACCTATAACAGCAGGCTTTTAAATGTCCTCTATGCCAAATAGAATGCGTTCCTAGCTCGAAGAGAACTATACTGTTAGAGCTCTTTGATAGATAATACACTTGACAGTTGTAAAGATGGGCATCGTTGGATCGTTTATCCTTATTGTGGGAATTTATGGGGCCAAATGATGCTACCTGCCTAGGCAGAATAGGGTGGCATACATCGTGTATAGAATTCAGCTGCTTACTGTGGAGAAGGCGCATGTCGGTGTATGATGCCACATGAGGAGAATGGCCACTTTCACTTTGATCTTCCACCATGCACTGGGTGCACAACACTCCCCTTCCGTAGTCAATGAAGGCAGATGACCTGGTTCCGTCTTATGAGCCAACATAGAAGAAAGCAACGGAGAAACAAGTATATAAAGGCATCCGTTTCTCCAAGTATTTTCATCACTGCCACTTCAATCTAAAACCCGCTCTACTCCCATCACCATACATCTTACGCTTATAAAGTATCTTCGCTCAATCTCTTGATCTTTTCAAAATGCGTTTTACCGCCGCCACCTTTGTTCTTGTAACTGCTGTCCTCCCGCATGCCTCTGCGTGGACCGTATGGGTAAACTGGAAATCCCAATGCGGAGGCAACTCTTATCGAGTGGATGGAACTGGCAGCACTTCTTGCCAGTTGACCAATGTTCCAGCCGATCAGAAAAAGCCTATATCTCTTACTCTTACCAATGGCCGCAATTGTGTTGGTTATATGTATGGAGACCGAAACTGTGGCACACAAGTATGTAGTTACCTTCTCTCTACTTTTTGGGGATTTTTATCCCAAGATGATAATACATCCAGCGGTAGTACAATACTAATCAGGCAACTGTGGCATCTAGGTCGGAGGAGCGGTTGGTAATAGCGGCACAGTATGCTCAGCTGACGTGGATTTCCAGTCCTGGAGGGTCGTCTGCTCATAAACTCGACACAGACACTTCAGACGTTGGGCTCTATGGGAGGATTTCAATAGCAGAGAAGATACAAGCGGCTTTTCTTTTTTCTTTAAGCTTTTCAACAAAGCTGAGTCCTTGTCTCACTACTATCAGTGAATCCTAGCTATAGCGAAGTAAAGTGGATTTCTAGAACGTTGACTCTTTCGCCTATTCGCAGTGAAGTACAGACATCACAACACTGAAAAGTGTCCTAGAATGATGATCACAGAGAAAATAGCACCATGGAAAATGACAATTACAATCGTCGTCGTGGGAGCAATAAACCAAAATCGAAAGTGCAGTTCGGTAGACTTAACTCAAGTACTGATACCATCCCTTCTTCCTGTCGCAGATCCATAGGCCCTAGCTTTAGTGAATAAATAAAGGGCTGACCATATTCAGCTGGTATGTTTGAAATGCCTCCATATTGAAAACTTCTATAACATAATCTCAGCATTAACTATAACGCTCTCCTGCATATGATAAGTAACAGAGTCTCTCTAGCTTATATTGAATAATGTTCGAAGAGGAAACATATTTTTGTCGCATTCTTAATGGAGTGATTGTGAGAGTTATGGAACTAAGCCCAGCCTTTAGCTCTAATAGTATACCTTCTCCAAAGAGCACTTAGATGACACGCTTAGAAGATGAAAAGTAATATAGTTACTATGTAAATGAGTCAAACTAGATATACATCTCTAGCTCAAGGTAATTACGAGAACAAATACAGTTCTGTACCAGGCGTTGCATTTGAAGAAGCAATGCAATGATGACGATGGGAGATCCGAAGAACACGATATTATATCATGGTATGTAAAGGAAATGGACAGCAGCCTTCTACAAAAATGATGTGTGAGCTGGCACTAGATTCTCGCAGCCTTGTCATGCAGATACGAGTAGGAAACGTCTAACCCTTACGCACACGCTAGATCGGAGAATGTATACACAGCGTTTGTACGCGGCTCATCCATATTGCCAGTCCATACAATGCGCGCAACAGGGAGAGCGTGTAGTTCACAGAATGGCCCGGTGACCCCGTAGCTGGCGCAGGTACCCAGGCTGCGGCAGAAATTTCGGCAGAGATTGGGATCAAATGGGGCGCCGCTCGCCATGCGAATATTGCGTTGGGGTATTACGGTGAGTATTCTGGGGCTCACGACATTGCAGAGAACGGGCGGAGGCGTGGGTGTCTCGATGGGCGTTGGAGTTTCAATTGGCGTTGGAGTTTCAATTGGCGTGGGTGTCTCAATTGGCGTGGGTGTCTCAATTGGCGTGGGTGTCTCAATTGGCGTGGGTGTCTCGATGGGCGTGGGAGTTTCAATTGGAATCAGAGTCTCGATGGGAGTAGGAGTCTCGATCGGTGTCGGCGTCTCGATCGGTGTCGGCGTCTCGATGGGCGTGGGAGTTTCAATTGGAATTGGATTCTCGATGGGAGTAGGAGTCTCAATAGGCGTCGGAGTCTCGATCGGTGTCGGAGTCTCCATTGGTGTTGGGGAGTCAATTGGCGTGGGTGTCTCAATTGGTGTCGGACTCTCAACTGGGGCTGGACTGCTGACTGGTGCATACAACTGAAGAGACGTGGATGTGTCGGTGGAAATTGAGTAGACAGCTAAGGATGGGTAAGGGGTCGGTGATGCAGAGGGCGTACTACTGGTCGCATTGCTATAAGAGTAGCCCAAGCTTGCTGGTGTGGAGGAGGTAGATTGTAGAGACTCGCTACAAGGTATTGAGGTTCGAGAAGTGACGACAGGTGCAGGGGCACCAAAAGAGAGACGAAAAGTAGTGCAGATTGCAACTAACCGAATGAGTGAAATTGGCATTTTGAATATTAGAATTAGTGGCTTATTTAGATTAGGATCATCAACGGAATGTAAAGACTGTAAAAATGCTCGAAAGCATGAGGTTGGAGAGGAGGAAAGAATGGGCGTGATGGCTAATTATAACTGTCAACAAAGATAGTATGCAACCAAGATAACATGAGGAGGGGTCCTAAACATCCGTGCGTTGGGCGTTTACAATAAATGCTGTTAGTCTGGCTCGCAAGCAGACGGAGCGGCCGATGGTCATTACTAGTGCACAGGATGGAATTCGCTTGGAGTTGCTTCTTGCTACGCGATTCTGCCAAACCTATCCAGATATCATCCACCTCGCATCTATTTCTAATAAAACCAAGCTCTTTGTGGATTAAACCAACTAACTGTTTACTCGAGAAGTACAGTTTTCTCAAAAAGAGGATTATATGCTGCTACGTTTAATTGTACATCGCATGTTCGAGACAATAGGTACTGAGTTCGTTCCAAAGAAGGCGGACTAGCGCAAGCGCCACCAGATGTGGCTGCATTCTAGATCTCAGGGGTTTTGTGGGCAGGTCCCTAGGCATAAGCCCCTAGCAATCCACTGCTCTTTAATGAGTTAATTCGATTGAATATTCGCCGGGCGAATGATCTCAACCAAAAGCCACGTTCCTTGGTACATCGTTTGGCCAATTGAGCGAAGGTTTCATCTTCACTTTCGATGTTGTGGCCCTTGTCAGTCTTTCTTTGTGATTTTGATCCAGATCAATAGATATTCGTTGAATCCAGTCACTTGAATCGCAAAAGATCGCAAAGTTATGATCAAGGCTGCATCTGGTGGTGAGGAAAGGCCTTGGAGAAGGTGACGACCTGATGTAAGTCGTAATGAACGAAAACAATCATAGCCCAGTCGATTTTGATGGAATGTTAGGTGATCAGAGCATTTCATATTATCAAAAAAAATACATATGCCATCACTTTCTCCCGCTGCTGCTATGCATTGAAGGCCGAAGGCACTGCCACAATGTGGCGACGCAAGGCTGAACAAGCGCAAAAATGGACTTATCTCTTTGCATCGCTACTTCAAGACAATGAGCGACCATGCGCATGATTTTCAAACACTCAGAGTTGTTGAATAGTATACAAAAGGCTGGTAGGTGTAAAATAGATGTACATCGCACTTAAACAGTATCAACACAATCAGCCCATTCACACTCAGTAGCGTCTGAGCGAGGGAAAGTACAATGATTAATCAGCACAATATAATTACTCAAACCCCATTTACATTGTTAAAATATTCTCAAAATCTATTTCATTTACAAAGAGATACTACCAGAGAAAAATCAAAATCCTCGCACCTACCTCAACATTCCCTTCTACCCAGCCAAACCCATCCCAACCATATACGCGCGATAATCTGCCTCGCATTCCGCACCCAACCCCTCACTCCTCACTTCCACTTCCTCATCTTCGCCCTCATCTCCGCCCATCAGCAAGTCTTCAAGTTTCGGCACCGGCACCGGCAGCATCTTTTTCCCCTCTTGCTTAAAATGCGCGCGCGCTTTGCTTTTCTTTAGTATGAACTTGTCGCCTGAGCGCTCAAACAGGCGTTCTTCGACATTGTACATTTCCCACATGGGAGTTGGCGGGCGGAGGATGATGATAGGGATATTAGGGTCGTTGAAGCTATGGAGGAGGAAACTGACGCGGAGGGGTTTGGGGACTTGACAGATGTGTTTCTTTGATTTTTTGTTGTGGGTGAGACAGGGGAGGTGTGTGGTATTCTTGGGTGTTGGGGTAGGTTGAGCGCTGTTGCGCTTTAGCAACATTTTTTTGATGGATTGCATGGTGAGATGATTTTGATTGCTTGTTTGAAGTGTGTAGTGAGTGTCCAGGACTTCAGAGTTGGGGCTTATATGGGAAAACAAACGAGGATTGATCTGCCGATGTGTATGGATAGAGTGGGCGTTGTGAATTGAGACATGTGGTGATTGGCTCACAATGTCTGATGAAAATGACGTTGGTATGGGATCTGAGAATGTTGGTCGTCAATACATAGGGATGAAATTGGTTTTGTACAGTCATTGTAGGAAAGGTAGAGATGAGAAAATGGAGTACTGGTTTTGAGGAAATCACAGATGATTCGATCCGACAAGCTGCCTGGAGTAAGTGGAAAGATTTTGCAGGATAAGCTTTCATTATGTGCCGTCTATCGTCTTCTTCACCTCTGTTTCTATCCTTTGACATGCGACATGCTGGCTTTGTTACATGACAACAATCCTGGTCAAAGCAAACCATTTCTTCATTTCCAAGGCCTATGCAGCTTCCGTTATTCGTGCACACCTGTTTGGTTATGCGCGTTCTTCAGTCCGCTACAGCCAGTACAGTTGGAGCAGCTGAACCTGTCAGCCTCCTGTTCTAAACTGCTGAGACACATAGTTCTCGCCCTGCGGCGTAGTTTGAACTCACCCTGTACAGTCAGTACAACCTGTACAATTCCGACAATCCGTACAATTTTCGCAGTCAGTGCAGTTGCGAGACGAGGTGCAATCTGTTTTGCTGTCAAAAGACCTGTTTGGGCACGCAAGCGATATGCTTCAGACGATCCAAGGAGATATGTGAACTCAATACGATGAAGTCGATGAAACGAATCTATCCGTGAATATGTGTGACATGAAGCATGTATGAATACTAGGAGGTGACTTGCCTCTACAATCTGTACAGTTCTGACCTAATGTGTACAAGACGTGGGATCAGCTTTCGGTCTGGGAGTATAACAATCATTTGCTTCACCTACAGTCCTTGCACCCGGTGCAATTCGTGTTATTGCGGTTTCCAGTATCTGTTTGTGACGCCGTATCCGAACCAACTGATGATGTGTTGTTACCCATTGCAAAAGATCTGTTATGGAAAATCCTTGATCAATGTAAGGGAAGACTGAGTGCTAAGAGAAACATTACTGTAAAACAACAGTACAGTTATATGTGAAAAACTCAGCTTCCCAGTAATGGTTTCTCATTGTCATTCTGGATGATAGAGGTGTGATATGCAGGTGCGACGTCATGTCTGACTGGTGGAGGATTCAAGAGGGGTAGCACATTGCGATAAGGAATCGGTTGGATGACACAGATACCAGATCTGTTATGCGATCTCAAGATGGCAAAGCATTGCCTCCAAGCCGTATTAGAAAGGCTGATCGAAGGAGTGATAGCTAGATAGTTTGTTTTGATGCGAATGCCTGCGGAAACCCGATGCGCCAATCAAGTTCATGATATTGCTGTCAAGGATAGATAGTAAGTAAGATGGCGATGGTAGATTCTAGTGCACCTTGGATGTCTTGGTGATCCATTCTATCCTCGCGATTGACATTCATGTCGACCTTCATCAGCTAAAGTCGATGTAGTCTTCGTGGATCATGAGCTTGGTGAAGGCTCCACAACAGCGGTAGCATCGTATACTTCTCAGACTCATTATCCTTGGGTTTGTGGGAAAGGCGCTATTGAGTCCTCGGAGTTCCAGATTGAGCAAGTTCAAAAGCGGAAGTGATGCGAACCCTTAAGATTACTGACTCGTAAAGGACCGTAAAGGTGCTCATAAGCGGTGTAGGATACGGCAGCCAAGATATCGTATAATGTCAGAATCTAACACAAGGTACATATACACAGCGGAGAAGAAACGCGGTGTAAGTAATGCACAAAGAGATATCGGTAGGTTAGTAATAAGTCTATTGACCATGATTAAGTCATGCGCGTGCCGCTTGTGATTGCCGGAAAAACCGCCGACCCCACCCTCTTTGAGCAACACGAGATTATTGGCCCAGATGTACGTCGGGTCGGCGTTTGGTTGAATACAAGCAGCGGCGAGAATCCATTTATTTATTAAGTAATGTTATTCCCGGATTTCGCCATTGATGTGAGTCTTCTAGACGTAAAGTTGCGCCCTCATCTTCATCTTTGGCCCTGGAACGTCAACTCCAATGGTCAAGAACCATGACGACTCGACGCACCGACGACGCAGAAATGGGCAATGAGGCAGCGAATCCTGCCAACGCCAATGCCGATATCGAACAAGCTTTGCCCCAAGAAGAAGCTGAGCCTCCAAGTGCACACCAGCCATCTGAAAAGCCTAACTTGCCTGCTCTTACACGAGTGCTGTCACGCCGATCTGCAGTATCATTTGACCCCGGTCCGGCTCCCGATGGTGGTGTTAAAGCCTGGATCCAAGTGTTCTGCACCCATCTGACTATCTTGACGACTTTCGGCTTCTTCACTTCATTTGGCGTATACCAGACCTACTACGAAAAGACGCTTGGCATCGAGCCGTCGACAATATCATGGATTGGTTCCCTACAGGTCTTTCTCCTCTTCTTCCTCGGTACTTTTACTGGTCGCGCCACTGATGCTGGTCTCTTTCGCCCTGTCTATATCGCTGGAAGTTGTTTCCAGTTGCTCGGTATCTTCACTTTGGCGCAGTGTAAGAGCGCATGGCAGATTTTCCTCTCCCAAGGTGTCTGCCTGGGCATCGCAAACGGCTTACAATTCTGTCCTTCCATGGCTCTGGTCTCCACGTACTTTGTCAAACGCCGCGCCTTTGCACTTGGATTCACAGCACTGGGCTCTTGTACTGGTGGTGTTATCTTCCCAATCATTGTGCAGCAATGCCTGCCTAGCATGGGCTTCGCATGGACCATCCGCATCATCGGCTTCATCATGCTCGTTGTGAACATTACGACGATTGCCCTATATCGTACGCGACTTCCGCCGAGGAAAAGTGGTCCACTGGTTGACTGGGCAAGTTTCAGAGAGTTGCCCTATACTCTGTATTGCACCGCGGCTTTCTTCAGTTTTTGGGGCTTGTACTTTTCCTTCTTCTACATCGGGAGCTACGCGCGCAACGTCCTGGGGGTCAGCTATCAACAAAGTATCAATTTGCTCCTTGTGCAGGTTGCCATGGGATTTCTCTTTCGGATACTACCCACGTACTATGCCGATAAGATTGGGGGACTAAATGTACTGATTCCTTTTGCCTTTCTCTGTGGCATCATGATGCTGGCATGGATCGGAATCAAGTCGATTGGCACATTGTATGTCTTTGCAGCTATATATGGCAGCGGAAGTGCCGTCATTCAGGCATTGTGGCCTGCTGTCATTGGAAAACTGAGCCGCGAGATGGATCTGAAGAAAACGGGTGTGCGAATGGGCATGGCTTTTACCATTGTGAGCATGTCGAGTCTGACAGGTCCGCCGCTAGCCGGTGCACTCATCCAGATGAACAACGGCGACTATACATATGCAAACGTTTGGGCAGCCATGTCGTTCTTCGTTGGGGGTAGTTTGCTTGTGGCTACGAGGATATCTCTTGTGGGCTGGGACTGGAAGGCAAAAGTATAATCGAAGCAGCTGCCAATGACATTTACTTTTGGCGTTACGTGGGGTTGTCTCACCCTCCATATCCCTTCTTCATTCCGATTTGCCTGTAAGAACGTTATCACAACGGGATCGTAGTATAATAACCATGTTGATTGGATTGTCGCATCGATCTGGTGCTGAACGGGCGCTAAACCAGATACGTCAACCAGGCTACTTGCATAATTCAGTACCTCAGCATTCAGGTACGATAGACGTGCCTTTACCTTGACCCTTCTTGTCTCTTACACAATGACGCGTCGCAACACAAGCTGTCATATTCCATCCGACAGTCGCAATGGCGCTGAGAGTCTCCCGCGGTGGTCGCGGTCGTGGACGTGGCAGAAGACGCGGTAGAGGAAAGACACAGCTGGTACGTGATGTTGGTGCAGACGCCTAGAAAGCCGCTCATTGTTTTCATAGTGGGAATGGGAATCATACAAACCGGGTCCAGAGATTTATGACCAGTTATGGCGTATCCGTAAAGAACCTGCTGTAGTTACCGCACAACCATCCGACGACTGCCCGATACCACACGCACAAACGCGAATCCTTGATCGCCGACAGACCGAGGGCGCGGTAGTAAGAAATTACTACGTCGTTCAAATCACACGTACTGGCGACGGTGAGGAACAGAAAGTCACAGAATATGTAGACCTTAGTTGCATATTACACTACGTCTCTTCCGCCGAACTGGAACGATTTGAAAATGAGCAGTTTAGACTCGAGGCTGAGGCTGAGGCTCTTGCAGTACAGTCAGAAATTGACGAGCTGGCGCGTCGGCAGCTGGAAAAGAATGCAAGGGGGGCCAAGACCACTGGAGTAGGAAGCCGGATGCTCAGTGGACTAGGGTTACCTTCAGATGTACCAATGCGGGCAAGAGGCAGACTTCCAGGGAGACGCGGCAGAGGGAGAGGTAGAGGGAGAGGGCTGACTATGCGTCACGATGATTTGGGTGAGCAACTTGGCGATTCTACTGTGTTTCTGGACCAAGTAGCCCAGGATATATCTCCAGTAATTCCAGAAACCGATGATGAAGAGGACCAAGATTCGGACGCACGAACCCAACCGTCGCCAGGTTTGATGCGCTCGGCATTTTTTGCCAATAGCGCTCTGCTACTGTCACCTGTTACAAGGAGACTTTCCATTCCCATCACCTACGACACCCAAGACGATGAAGCAGAGGATTTACCTACACCCATTGCGCAACAAGGCCACGGACTAGACGAAAACCAGCATCGTATCAAAAGACTGAGACTCTCAAACCCAGACTCGGATCACGATACATCAGCACTGTCACCTCCACAAATACCTGCGGAAGCATTCTCGGCAGCCCTCTTCTCCGACCGCTCTTCTGCCGTAGACGCAAACTCGAGTCCCGTTGTCATCGAGAATACCGCACCAATACCACCCAGCGATCTACC